CTTCTATCATTCCCTGCTATAGGTAAAAACGGTTGGCAGGTCTGGTACCGTCCTGCTATATGAGTGTGACGCGGAATCCTGTTAAAGGTTTTGCACTCTGGCACATCTGCTGATTTTGTCTTTATCATGAACGTGTAAGATCACTGGCAAATCATACATTCATTATACACTTATATTTCCTTTTTTTCGTTAGCTATTATTCCAGGAACATTCAGGAGATTTGGTCTGGGACCGGTCCGGAGGTCGATAACCCCTGGAACCATTGACAGATAACAGATAATCTGATAGTTTAAACATTTTTCCAACTTATGCTTGGAGCTTTCTGATGCATTGTCGTCAATGTCTTGTTATACACGTACGCCGCCACTGGTCGTATTTCTATCATTAGATTTTTTTTACTATGCTTGCAGTATTTATGTGATGACCCGTTCCGTTTTGAGTTTGGTAATTTGACAGATGCCTTTCGCTGGCTTACTGATCCACCCCACGAAAAGAGGTTGAATATTATTCCACAGTGTGTGATGGTAGACTTATTTTCCCGTTTCAAAAGCCGAGGATCACTACCCATTAATGTCTTGTTCCCACATTTCCCTACATTTTCCTGTGACATTGTTGTGGTTCTTAAAGGTGAAATCCTCTGACATTAACACTCCCAAGTCCTTTACACTGCTTTTTCACTCTGTTGTATAGTTAGAGTTTGTAATATACTCCGTCCTAGCTATAATTTCCTCCAGTTTTCCATAACAGAGTAGTTGGAATTTGTACTCATTGAACATCATATTGTTTTTCGTTGCCCATTGGAAAGCCTGGTCTATATCCGCCTGGAGATGTACTGTGTCCTCAGTAGATGACAGTCTCATGCAGATTCTAGTATCATCTGCAAAGGAAGACGCAGTACAATGGTTTGCATCTCAACGTCTGATATGAGGATGAGGAACAGGATGGGGGCGAGTACTGTGCCTTGTGGAACAGAGCTTCTCACTGTGTCAGCCTCCGACTTAACTCTCTTTACCATAAATTACTCTTTGTGTTCGATTGGTTAGAAAGCTGAAGATCCATCTGCCCTAATTGGGAACTTTACGTTACTTGTTAGTAGTAAGTAAATAAGTTTATTTAGATACAGGTACACATAAGTACAATTATCATGCATTACGTAAATTACCAAGGACAACCCAAAAAAATGTCAAGACACTTTATTTGCAAAGGAAACTCTTGTTCCTCTTGTTCCATCGACTACTTATGGACAATGCTTTTATCCCCGTACAACGGGAAGTAGGGCTTGACACGGCGAAAAATCCAACAACGACTACATTACCAGTCCTTGTCTTTGGGTAGGGTGCCATTAATGTTACTGGATGTGGCCCTGATGTGCCTTCATGTGGGTCACTCCAGACTCAAGGTTCATCTCCACCACCTCCAGGATGCTTACCTTCACCACCTATATATCTAGTAGATTTATTTAGGTAGAGGTACAAATAAGTACAATCATATATAGTGTAAATTACGAAAAATAACCCCCAAAAAGTCAACGTGACTTATTTCCATTGGGGTCCTTACCTAGAGTATACCTGGAGGATGTTTCGGGGGTCAACGCCCCCGCCGCTGGGTCCATGACCAGGCCTCGCAGTGGATCAGGACTTGATCAGCTAGGCTGTTACTGATGTTGCAGTGTCGGATATTGTCAGCAGCAGGCGGGATTTCCCAGTGGAAGTAGGTCATACCCGTCCCTCGGATATGATCTACTTCCACTGGGATATTCTGCCTACCAATGACAGTACCCGACACTGCAACATCATAGAATCTTGGTTCGGAGGACATCACAACCTTCTTCATTTACTACTAGGCTGTTATTGCTGGTGGTGTCTCAATCAGATGGAACATTTCCTTCTTTCTTGTCCCCTGGTTCCATTATGCTCACACACATTTTCGCAAGTCTCTTTGAATTTAAGTCTCTTGTTATTCCCTCTTCCCCTAGTTGGGTTTAGTTAGTTGTCCTGCCTGAGCAGCAAGTTTATTGTGCATCCCATGCACATCCTGTAACAGGTAGCTCAAAAAGCAAGATTACAGAAGTCAAAATATAATAGGCCTTTAATATCAGACCACTGGGTATCCTGGCTGAGGCAGGATATGATATTACCAGGACCCTAATGGAAGTAAGTCACTGACTTTTCTGGGGGTTATTCTAGGTAATTTACACATGTCACTATGTATGATGATTGTACTTATGTCCGTCTGTACCTAAATAAACTTCCTTATTTACTTGAAGCTTCGGGAAGAGTCAACGAGCTGTAATTGTACTTTCCCTCCATGACTGAAATATTTCTGACCAGGGTCCTGTTAATAAGTAAATTTATTCAGGTATACACAAATAGTTACATAGATTATCATACATAGCAGCATATGTGTAGAGAACCTGGGATAACCCAAAAAAGTCAGAGTGACTTATTTCCATTGGGGTCTTTCAAACAAGCAAACTTCATTTCTTTCAGCAGTTTACATGTATTATAATATTGTTAAGCACTAAAGAAAGCCACTAGCATCCTGTGCATTTCGGGCAGACTAATTTTAATGATTACAAGGCCGTATACCCCTCAAGGAAGGTTCCTTGATGTTGGTGAGGGGCTCTTGATTTAGGGAATTGGATCTGTGCTCCAGTTCCCCGAATTAAGCCTGAATGCCTTCCACATCCCCCCCAGGCGCTGTATAATCCTCCGGGTTTAGCGCTTCCCCCTTGATTATAATAATAATAATACAAGGCCGTATAGATTACTTTTGCTCTTCATGGTACTCTGCCTTAACAGAAAACTGAAAGACAGACTACGAATCACCCAGGACAAAATTGTGAGATTCAAACTGCACATGAGTCCAACAGAACATGTAGACCAGGATGAATTGCAACAACTGGATATGTTGAAGACAGAGTAAAATAACTGAAGTTAAATCACGTTTATAAAATTACTCACAGTGTCCAGAATATCTTGTTGCCAAGTTTGTCAAGGTTGGCAACCACAGCAGCCATAGTACTAGGGGGAGTAGAACACTACCTTGTAGTACCTGCAGTTACTGGTCATGCTTCAGATACCTTTACGGCGCTCTTTGACCCTTGTAGGTTTACTGCTTCTTTTTTGATTAAAATAATAATAATTCAAATACCTTTTGTTGTAGAGCAGTAGAGTGGCAGGGACTGCCTGCACATATCATAGCATAACAGGTTTAGGAAGAGCCATAAGGTACTTAATGAATGTAGCCACAGAGAGGGAGTGATTTTTTTTTTAGCTAACACTCGTGTAAATATAAATAACTCATTTTACCTTACTCCTTTTATATATCTTTTATAGTATAATAATAAGGTATTAAAAGGACCCCAATGGAAATAAGTCACTGATTTTTTTGGGTTATCCCAGGTTCTCTACACATGTGTAGCTGTGTATGATAAATCAATGTAACTGTATTTGTGTATTCGTAAATGAAGTAAATGAACTTACTTGCTTGTGACCTAATTGCAAGTACAAGTACCTAGACGTACCTGAAGCCTCTCAGGTTTATGGGACAGAAAAAAGTCACCACCATTCCTAGAATATCTTCTTTTATTGTAACTGCTTTCCATGTAGCTGAGTTACTTAGCTATTTTAAGGTTTAAATACTAAGTGGTGGATCAGGGTTCACCTGATAAGGGATATATAAATTTCTAACATGTAATTTTAGATTTGATTTTTTTTTTTTGCATTTTTATTTTCTTTACCCCTATATTTTTTTCCTAATTTTGGTCCTTACAGTCAAAAAAAAAAAAAATGATAATTTATGTAACTATTTATGTGCATCTGTACCTCAATAAACTTACTACCTAAAACTAGACATGGGTTATTGAGTGGTACAATTTATATTAGATATTCTTTTTATTTAATTCTTATTTAGCAAAGCTGCCCAAAATGCACTGCATAACTATGGGCTTTTTGCATGCAGAACAAAATGTCACCCATCTCTGTACAAACATTGTATCTAACTGAAATAAATCTTTGTCATTGTCCTGTTCCTGGAGGCCTCAGAGGAAACCCACAAAAGCTTAACTGTAATCCCTTTCTTAATAATTTATATGCTCCTATGCCTAGCTTCATATACTGTACAAGTATATATCATTCAGCTGTCAGGTTGTTTAGAGCAAGTATTGAGGAAAGAGAGTCAGTTACTGTCTGAAGTCATGGTTTCCAATTACTACATCTTCTCTTAATTCATTCTATTGCTCTAGCTCTCTGCAAAGAAATCTTTTCTGTTATCCATTTGGCTCCACTTTTTACTCAATTTACAGCTGTGGTGTGTGGTAGCTTCTCTGCAACTTAAACACCTTTTAATTCAGGTTGCCTGGGTTCTTGATCCATGGAATTATACCTGCCCTCTTCTTCCTTGAATCAAACATGGTTATATCATCTTCTTAGGCACTGTTTGACTCTTAGTGAAAACTGTTAAAATTGGTTGCTGTTGTCATAATGTCTTAATGGCTATTGTTTCTCAGTGTGTGGGTGTCTTCCATCTTGCTGGTTCTTTGTGGTAACTAGCAACACTAAAATTGTTCTTAAATTCTTTGAGTTTCTGGCATGCAGGATTGCTCGTGGTTACACAGATGTTCATGTAAAGCATCACAAAACCCCTCAAACCAATCCAAGGGACAGAAATGACGGCATTAGCTATATTAAAAAAATTATAACCTTGCAAGAGAAGTGCCATGGTGCCAGTGAGAGGGGGAGGGGGGTTGGTTGGTATTGCACTCACCTCACACACCAAGTGTCCATGGTTCAGTCCCCAGCATGGGGACATGAGACACTTGTCCACATTCACCTAGCAGTAAGTAGGTACGTGGGTGTTAGTCGACTGGTGTGGGTTGCATCCTGGGGTACAAGATTAAAGGACCACAATGGAAATAAAACAGACAATTCTCGATGACACACTGACTTTATTAGGTTATCAAGGGTGGCTAACTCTCTGGGATAAAATTCTGAACAAACCTTATCTTCCTTGGATTGAACATGAGTGCCTCTGGTTTCCCAGGCACTATATGGCTCTTATAGATTTGGTGCTTACCCCTGTTTAAAATAAAAATCGAAAATCAGTGTAAAATATGTCTCTACATCAAACAATAAATGTCTCGATTACAACCAATTTATTACCAGAGTGGTCAAATGATAACCTCAAATTTTTAGTCAAAAGTCAAATTTATATTTTTCAACCTACATCAATAATGTTATTTTTGTAATCTCCAGATCATGCCAGTTCAAAATAAGCATACGGTATAGTAGCCATTGATTTAACGGACTAATAGCAAGATGTGGGTGTCGAGTTTCACTTGTGAAACATTATCTTTGGTTGATTCTGCTGCATTTCTCCTGCAGGTGACCTAGAGCCAACATTTGGAAGATGTTGTGCCTATGGTGCCAACTGGGCGAGGGAAGCCCAGCAGTGCTCCACCTTCCCTGCCCCTGTCAGTGGCATCCCCTCCGAGCACCAGTCTATCTGTATTACTGCTGCTGGCATCTGTTGCCTTAGATACTTCAGGTGAGCTCTTGACAGTTCAGTCTTTTATGTTCTATAGTGTAAAGTTATATACAGTACTGGGAGCTAACATAATTTCAAGTATACATATTGCTGCATAATCTGTATCTATTTCTTAAGTAGTCTTTAAGCATTAGGATTAGTCTGCCCTAAATGCACTGTTTGCTAGTGGCTTTCTTTTGTGCCTAATAATATTTCATTACATGTAAACTACATTATATGTATACTGCATAAAATAAATAATTTTTTTTTAATTTGAATGTAATTGCTAGGAGAATTTTCCTGTTTCCTAAATACTGTGTAAAATTCAAGGGGTATTTGAATCCATTTATTTTATAAATTAATATCATTAGATACATTTTACATAGTATTTGAAGCCTTCCAGCATGGCTTCTTACACAGAATATAACTTACAGTAAAACAGTTCTTCCAGAATAGGGAAAAAATGGATGTCCCTTAAACCCAGTTGTCTGTTAAATCTGAATTATGAGAATATTTTTCCATTACTGTAACAATAACGGATAATTCTGATATAGTAGACTTTGTCTATTAAATATGAAATGAATTAATCCAATGGACTGTAAGAATGATGGATAGTTCTGGATTTATCAGAATTCACCCACTACTTCTAAATTGTGTCCTGTCTCAGATTTTGCATGTTGAATCTGAAATCCATCAAACTGAGGTCTGTTGAATCAAGGTTCTGCTAACATGTGCAACATATTGTACATCGACACCATGCCCAGCCCTTCTAGGGTAGGGTAGGTGCCTGAGCCCGAGCCTTTAGCTCATAAGACTGTCATTCCCATTTGCTCCCTTGGGGCGGGGATGGCAGACCAGAGAGGCCTAGCTTGTGGTTAGGCCTGGGGACAGTTGGTCCCAAAGATGAGGAGGTACCTGTGCCTCCTCCCATGGGAGACTTAGGTCTCAGACACTCCCTAAAGAGGGAGCCAAGGCCGGGCCACCACTTGGACAAGGCCCGGGCCGGGAGAATACCGGCGAATCTTTAATAATAATAATAATAACATATTGTATTATTTTAATTTTCTATTAGTACTTGTATAGTACTGTATTAGTCCTAGTTTAAGTCTTCTCAAAATCCACTTCAAGGTTCAACATTTTGTGTGTTCAGAGATGCTCTTCTGCATGCCTCTGTTGTGATGCCTGGTTACTTGAGTTGTTGTCACTTTCCTGTCAGCTTGAACCAGTCTGGCCATTTTCCTCTGATCTCTCTCATTAACAAGGCATTTTTGCCCACAGAACTGCCACTCACTTGATCTTTTTGTGTTTTTAACACAATTCTCTGTAAGAGAGACTGTTGTGCATGACCATCCCAGGAAATCAACAGTTTCTGAGATACTCAAACCACCCTGTCTGTCTGGTACCACTAGAGATCACATTTTTTACCCCATTCTGATCATGTCTGCATGCTTTTAGACATTGAGGGGTTGCCACATGATTGGCTGATTTGATATCTGCATTAATGAGCAGGTGTGCCTAATAAAGTGGCCACTGAGTATAAATACTGGAATACAGTATTACTTTTCTAATGTTAAATGCAAAGAAACCTTCAAAGTTGCAAGCTTTGAAATTTGAAAAGCACAGTTATACAGTACTGTACAAGTTTTTATTGAAGAGCTCAGCATGAATGTGTTAGATTATTCACAAATTTTTTCAGTGCCCATTTTTTTTTTTTTTGAGTTTGCATATGCAAAAAAATGTAAAACAATTTTCTTTTTTTATTTTACATGGCTTGTTGCTAAGTTGTCTCAGGCTGCTATACTCCAAAGGTTGCCTCATTTGAACAAACATTGTAATCCTGATTTAACATTTAATCTACTGTTATTTTCTAACTTGTTTTCAAGTAGAGCAGTTAAATTGTTATATGAACAGGGATGAGCAGTGTCAGAAAGGGAAGCAAGCAGCTCAAGTGGGCCAAGATTGTGTCAGCAGCAGTAACCAAGGCGGGGAGTACTTTAAGGTAACTCATGTTTTGTCTAAATTTCTGTTATGAAGGAGAATTTTACATTTTTAAAATTGAAATAACTTAAAAATATCTCACTTTGTTATCATGCCAACTTTTGTAATGTCAACCCTCAATTAGTTATAAATTTAATTTTAGTCTTCTCAGTTCATGTAAAATTATCAATTACTGTATATGCCACATACATACACTATCATCGTATAAATGTTGCAGTTTAAAAACTGTAGTGTAAAGCACCCTTATGGCAAGACAGTGATGGAGTGAATGATGGTGAAAGCTTTTCTTTTTCGGGCCACCCTGCCTTGGTGGGAATCGGCCAGTGTGATAATAAAATAAATAATAAATATTTTCCAACTAAATTTTACAAAAGTACCACATTATTGTTATGAATATTGATATGCATATTTTTAAGACATTCAGTATTGTATTATTTATTTAAAGAAATACTGTATCTGAATCCATTACTCTTTATACTATTAGTTGTATTCAGAGGCGTTGCTAGGGTTGGTGTCACCCGGGACGGAATCTTTGGTGTCACCCAGGGCGGCATCTTTGGTGTTACCCCCATGAAATCCAAGGGTGGGGGTATGGGGGGAGTAAACGCCTGTTACATCACTGCTGCATGGCCAGTGACTAATATTTAGCAATGAGAACGTTTAAGGGCTATGAACCGAACTTTATTAATGATAAAATAAATAATTGTAGTAATATTGAGGAAACATAAACTCAAATACCACTTTGAGTATAGGCAACAGATTCTACATTTATTCATCTTCAACAGTGAAAAAAAAAAACTTGAAAAATAAAGAAAAACACTAGTTTCGATTTAACCTTGAGTACAGGTAACATCTCGATGAATCTGATATTTCATTTCCTTGCCTTCAAGCCTGCAAAATCATCTATCACATCATCAAAATCAATTATTTTCCCAATATAGGCCTATTTGTACTCTGTAATTACCTGTAATTCTATAATAGGCTACAGAGAAACGAAGGATTTTTCTCTTATGTTGCTGCAGCACTGTTTTGATCATTAGTGTTACCTTCTTTAGAGGCTCTATGGTGTCACCCCATAAATGGTGTCACCCAGGGCGGCCCCCCCCCTTACAACGCCACTGGTTGTATTCATGGACAATAAAAATATTAGTATAATATACGTATATAGTAATACTGCAGTGTGGTGCAGTATTCTCTCAAAATCTCAAATAATTTACCAAAAAAGGCTAGAGAATATAATACACAAGCCTATCCGATGTTATCCTGACGCCAAATGACTTCGAACAGGCAATAAATGACATGCCCATGCACTCTGCCCCAGGGCCAGACTCATGGAACTCTGTGTTCATCAAGAACTGCAAGAAGCCCCTATCACGAGCCTTTACCATCCTATGGAGAGGGAGCATGGACACGGGGGTCGTCCCACAGTTACTAAAAACAACAGACATAGCCCAACTCCACAAAGGGGGCAGTAAAGAAACAGCAAAGAACTACAGACCGATAGCACTAACATCCCATATCATAAAAATCTTTGAAAGGGTCCTAAGAAGCAAGATCACCACCCATCTAGAAACCCATTAGTTACACAACCCAGGGCAACATGGGTTTAGAACAGGTCGCTCCTGTCTGTCTCAACTATTGGATCACTACGACAAGGTCCTAGATGCACTAGAAGACAAAAAGAATGCAGATGTAATATATACAGACTTTGCAAAAGCCTTCGACAAGTGTGACCATGGTGTAATAGCGCACAAAATGCGTGCTAAAGGAATAACAGGAAAAGTCGGTCGATGGATCTATAATTTCCTCACTAACAGAACACAGAGAGTAGTAGTCAACAGAGTAAAGTCCGAGGCAGCTACAGTGAAAAGCTCTGTTCCACAAGGCACAGTACTCGCTCCCATCTTGTTCCTCATCCTCATATCTGACATAGACAAGGATGTCAGCCACAGCACCGTGTCTTCCTTTTCAGATGACACCTGAATCTGCATGACAGTGTCTTCCATTGCAGACACTGCAAGGCTCCAGGTGGACATCAACCAAATCTTTCAGTGGGCTGCAGAAAACAATATGAAGTTCAACGATGAGAAATTTCAATTACTCAGATATGGTAAACACAAGGAAATTAAATCTTCATTAGAGTACAAAACAAATTCTGGCCACAAAATAGAGCGAAACACCAACGTCAAAGACCTGGGAGTGATCATGTCGGAGGATCTCACCTTCAAGGACCATAACATTGTATCAATCGCATCTGCTAGAAAAATGACAGGATGGATAATGAGAACCTTCAAAACTAGGGAGGCCAAGCCCATGATGGCACTCTTCAGGTCGCTTGTTCTATCTAGGCTGGAATATTGCTGCACACTAACAGCACCTTTCAAGGCAGGTGAAATTGCTGACCTAGAAAATGTACAGAGAACCTTCACGGCGCGCATAACGGAGATAAAACACCTCAATTACTGGGAGCGCTTGAGGTTCCTAAACCTGTATTCCCTGGAACGCAGGCGGGAGAGATACATGATTATATACATCTGGAAAATCCTAGAGGGACTAGTACCGAACTTGCACACGAAAATCACTCACTACGAAAGCAAAAGACTTGGCAGACGATGCAACATCCCCCCAATGAAAAGCAGGGGTGTCACAAACACATTAAGAGACCATACAATAAGTGTCAGGGGCCCGAGACTGTTCAACTGCCTCCCAGCATACATAAGGGAGATTACCAACAGACCCCTGGCAGTCTTCAAGCTGGCATTGGACAAGCACCTAAAGTCGGTTCCTGACCAGCTGGTCTGTGGCTCATACGTTGGTTTGGTGGATCAGGCTCTGATCCACCAGGAGGCCTGGTCACAGACCGGGCCGCTGGGGCGTTGACCCCCGGAACTCTCTCCAGGTAAACTCCAGGTATTTTCCCACAGTTCTTTTCAGTTAATGTTATTTTGCAATTCTGTATCAGTTTATTAAAAAATCATGCAAATATTAATCATATGCATTACTGAATATTTCTCATTCTTAGTTGATTTTTTATTTAATTGACAAATTGTATAAATTTAATTTACAAATTGTATATCACATTGGAGGGATAGAGTATGGAAGATATGAATGTGTTCATATATTTGGGAGTAGACTTGTCAGCAGCTGGGTTTATGAAGGCCGAGGTTAACCATAGAACTGATGAGGGAAAAATGGGAGTGTTGCATTGAGGTATCTGTGGAGACATAGAATGTTATTCATGGGGGCAAAGAAGGAAGTGTGTGAGAGTATAGTGGTACCAACACTTATGTGGGTGTGAAGCTTGGGTTGTAAATGCTGCAGCAAGGAGGAGGCTGGAGGCAGTGGAGATGTGTCTAAGGGCAGTGTATGGTGTAAATATTATGCAGAGAATTCGTAGTGTGGAAATTAGGAGGAGGTGTGGAGTTACTAAAAGTATTATTCAGAGGGCTGAAGAGTTGTTGAGGTGGTTTGGTCTTTTAGAGAGGATGGAACAAACGTGGATGATTTGGAGGGTATATAAATCTGTAGGAAAGGGGAGGAGGTGTAGGGGTCATCTTAGGATAGGATGGAGGAAGTAAAAGAGGTTTTGTGTGCAAGGGGCTTGGACATGCAGCAGGCATGCATGAGCGTGTTAGATAGGAGCGAATGGAGACAAATGGTTTTTGGGACCTGGCAAGCTGTTGGAGTATGAACAGAGTAATATTTTGCAAAGGGATTCAGGGGAATCAGTTAGCTGGACTTGAGTCCTGGAGGTGGAAGTAGAATACCTGCACTTTAAAGGAGCGGCTTGGGATATTGGCTGTTTGGAGTTACATATAAACTGTCATGTCTGAGCACTCTGCGAAGATAGTGATTAGGTGTGAATGATTGTGAAAGTGTTTCTTTCCTTTTTGGGTCACCCTGCCCTCAGTGGGAGATGGCCGTCTTGCTAAAAAAAAAATAAAAGACTGGTAGAATCAGTTTTGAGTTCCTCACATTTTGAATAATCTGTATTATTCTCTTCAGGATTGTTGCCAAGGATGTAAGCTGGGTTTATTCAGTGGCAGCATGGGTATGGGCTGCAATATGGGGTTCAAGTTTGGCTTCCCTTGGGATAGTGCATTTGTTCAGTGTTGCATGCAGGTGGCTCCTGGGAGTGCTGCTAGCTTCCCAGATATTGGTATGTTTTACATCTCCAGCCATGTATCTGTAATGTCTGTAAATAAGTTTGGGGATCATTGGCACTATGGCTTGGTCTCTGACCAAGCATGGTACTGTACTCTGTATTAAGTACAGTGGACCCCCACTTTATGATCACCTCCCAATGCGACCAATTATGTAAGTGTATTTATGTAAGTGCGTTTGTACGTGTATGTTTGGGGGTCTGAAATGGACTAATCTAATTCACAATATTCCTTATGGGAACAAATTCGTTCAGTACTGGCACCTGAACATACTTCTGGAATGAAATAATATCGTAAACCGGGGGTCCACTGTATTAAGTAAAGCTTACTGTACAACATACTATATGTCAGTAAAATACACAAATAACCAGCACATAGGAGAAAGAAACTTATGACGATATTTTGGTCCAACTTGGACCATTAACTAGTCACACAGCGTGTGTGACTATTTAACCCTTAAACGGTCCAAACAGATCGACGTTCAAATTCGTAGTGCTCCAACAGTAGATCTACTTTTTTTACATATTTTCAAATATAACAAAAAAAAAATGTAGATAAAAGTTTTTTTTACACGTTTTCAAATGTAAAACAAAAAAGAAGATCTACATTTTTTACATACTTTCAGATGTTGAAAAAACATATATACACGTTTGGACCATTTAAGGGTTAATGGTCCAAGTTGGATTGAAATGTCATAAGTTTCTTTCTCCTATGTGCTGGTTATTTGTGTATTGTTCCAGTCATGGTATTCTTTGTCAGTAGAAGTTTGTAAGACTTTATCATTTACTGTACGTGTTTGTGAAACGTAATGTTTATCATACATGTCATGAAACAGAAACAAATTTGAGTGTATATATGATTAATTTTTTTACACACCAGATCTTTCCCACTGAGGTAGGATGACCTGTAAAAGAAGAAACACTTTCACTAGTACTCACTCTATCACTGTCTTGCCAGAGTTGTGCTGACATTGCAGTCAAATATCCCCACCCTTCCTTCAGAGTGCGAGGTACAATGCCTGCACTCTGAAGGAGGGGTCGGGATATTTCCTGTTTGGAGGGACATCTGAACCATCATATCTGCACATCTCTGTCACAATAGTGATAGTATGAATGATGGTGAAAGTGTTTCTTTTTTGGGCCACCCTACCTCAATGAGAGATGGTCAGTGTGTTAAAAAATAATTAACTATTAAATTGTACTATCCTAGGATGTATTCACTAAATATGATAGTGCACTGATATAATAGGTAATGGTTTTCCTGTTTGCAGGTAACAAATTGGTGGATTTGAATAACCTTTATCCTGGTGTGATTTCCACTACTCTTACATATTCAGGTAAAATATTACACATTCTGCTGTACTGTAATAGATTGTTCATGAGTCTTGCTTTGGATACTTTATTGTACATTCAATGTTTGCTCTTGTAAAATTACATGCAAATGATAATGTTTGCATAATGAAGGCAGTGGTCATGTTGTGTTGCTGATGCTTGTACAATGGTGGAAAAAGTGCTTTAAAAATTATAATGTTAAGTACCAGTCAAAATGGCTTAATTGATGAAGGTCAGTTTTTATTAACACATCGGTTGTTTCCCATCAAGGCAGGGTGACTTAAAAAGAAATAAAAAATCAGAAAGAAAGAAAAAAAGTAAGTTTATTTAGACACTTTTTTTTTTAACAAGTCGGCCGTCTCCCACCGAAGCAGGGTTACCCAAAAAGAAAATACTTTAATCATCATTCAACACTTTCACCTCACTCATACATAATCACTGTTTTTGCAGAGGTGATTAGAATACAACAGTTTGTAGGTAGTAGGTTGGTAGACAGCAACCTCCCAGGGAAGTACTACCGTTCTGCCAGATGACTGTGAAACAGAAACCTGTAACTGTTTTGCATGATGGTAGGATTGCTGGTTTCTTTTTCTGTCTCATAAACACGCTAGATAGCAGGGATATCTTGCTACTCCTACTTACACTTTGGTCATACTTCACAGACATGCACATGCATATACTGTACGTATATATACGTACATCTAGGTTTTTCTCTTTTTTCTAAATAGCTCTTGTTCTTCTTTATTTCTTCTATTGTCCATGGGGAAGTGGAAAAGAATCTTTCCTCCATAAGCCATGCGTGTCGTAGGAGGCGACTAAAATGCCGGGAGCGATGGGCTAGTAACCCCTTCTCCTGTAGACATTTACTAAAAAAGAGAAGAAGAAAAACTTTATAAAACTGGGATGCTTGAATGTGCGTGGATGTAGTGCGGATGACAAGAAACAGATGATTGCTGATGTTATGAATGAAAAGAAGTTGGATGTCCTGGCCCTAAGCGAAACAAAGCTGAAGGGGGTAGGGGAGTTTCAGTGGGGGGAAATAAATGGGATTAAATCTGGAGTATCTGAGAGAGTTAGAGCAAAGGAAGGGGTAGCAGTAATGTTGAATGATCAGTTATGGAAGGAGAAAAGAGAATATGAATGTGTAAATGCAAGAATTATGTGGATTAAAGTAAAGGTTGGATGCGAGAAGTGGGTCATAATAAGCGTGTATGCACCTGGAGAAGAGAGGAATGCAGAGGAGAGAGAGAGATTTTGGGAGATGTTAAGTGAATGTATAGGAGCCTTTGAACCAAGTGAGAGAGTAATTGTGGTAGGGGACCTGAATGCTAAAGTAGGAGAAACTTTTAGAGAGGGTGTGGTAGGTAAGTTTGGGGTGCCAGGTGTAAATGATAATGGGAGTCCTTTGATTGAACTTTGTATAGAAAGGGGTTTAGTTATAGGTAATACGCTGTATAGCCCTTGTGGCTTAGTGCTTCTTTTTGATTATAATAATAATATAGGTAATACATATTTTAAGAAAAAGAGGATAAATAAGTATACAAGATATGATGTAGGGTGAAATGACAGTAGTTTGTTGGATTATGTATTGGTATATAAGAGATTGTTGACTAGACTTCAGGATGTACATGTTTATAGAGGGGCCACAGATATATCAGATCACTTTTTAGTTGTAGCTACACTGAGAGTAAAAGGTAGATGGGATACAAGGAGAATAGAAGCATCAGGGAAGAGAGAGGTGAAGGCTTATAAACTAAAAGAGGAGGCAGTTAGGGTAAGATATAAACAGCTATTGGAGGATAGATGGGCTAATGAGAGCATAGGCAATGGGGTCGAAGAGGTATGGGGTAGGTTTAAAAATGTAGTGTTAGTGTTCAGCAGAAGTTTGTAGTTACAGGAAAGTGGGTGCGAGAGGGAGGAGGAGCGATTGGTGGAATGATGATGTAAAGAGAGTAGTAAGGGAGAAAAAGTTAGCATATGAGAAGTTTTTACAAAGTAGAAGTGATGCAAGGAGGGAAGAGTATGTGGAGAAAAGGAGAGAGGTTAAGAGAGTGGTGAAGCAATGTAAAAAGAGAGCAAATGAGAGAGTGGGTGAGATGTTATCAACAAATTTTGTTGAAAATAAGAAAAAGTTTTGGAGTGAGATTAACAAGTTAAGGAAGCCTAGAGAACAAATGGATTTGTCAGTTAAAAATAGGAGAGGAGAGTTATTAAATGGAGAGTTAGAGGTATTGGGAAGATGGAGGGAATATTTTGAGGAATTGTTAAATGTTGATGAAGATAGGGAAGCTGTGATTTCGTGTATAGGGCAAGGAGTAATAACATCTTGTAGGAGTGAAGAAGAGCCAGTTGTGAGTGTGGGGGAAGTTCGTGAGGCAGTAGGTAAAATGAAAGGGGGTAAGGCAGCCGGGATTGATGGGATAAAGATAGAAATGTTAAAAGCAGGTGGGGATATAGTTTTGGAGTGGTTGGTGCAATTATTTAATAAATGTATGGAAGAGGGTAAGGTACCTAGGGATTGTATAAAGGCAAAGGGGACAAAAGAGAGTGCAAAAATTATAGGGGATAAGTCTGTTGAGTATACCTGGTAAAGTGTATGGTAGAGTTATTATTGAAAGAATTGAGAGTAAGACGGAGAATAGGATAGCAGATGAACAAGGAGACTTTAGGAAAGGCAGGGGGTGTGTGGACCAGGTGTTTACAGTGAAACATATAAGTGAACAGTATTTAGATAAGGCTAAAGAGGTTTTTGTGGCATTTATGGATTTGGAAAAGGCATATGACAGGGTGGATAGGGGGGCAATGTGGCAGATGTTGCAGGTGTATGGTGTAGGAGGTAGGTTACTGAAAGCAGTGAAGAGCTTTTACGAGGATAGTGAGGCTCAAGTTAGAGTATGTAGGAAAGAGGGAGATTATTTCCCAGTAAAAGTAGGCCTTAGACAAGGATGTGTGATATCACCATGGTTATTTAATATATTTATAGATGGGGTTGTAAAAGAAGTAAATGTGAGGGTCTTGGCAAGAGGCGTGGAGTTTAAAGATAAAGAATCACACATAAAGTGGGAGTTGTCACAGTTGCTCTTTGCTGCTGACACTGTGCTCTTGGGAGATTCTGAAGAGAAGTTGCAGAGGTTGGTGGATGAATTTGGTAGGGTATGTAAAAGAAGAAAATTAAAAGTGAATACAGGAAAGAGTAAGGTTATGAGGATAACAAAAAGATTAGGTGATGAAAGATTGGATATCAGATTGGAGGGAGAGAGTATGGAGGAGGTGAATGTATTCAGATATTTGGGAGTGGACATGTCAGTGGATGGGTCTATGAAAGATGAGGTGAATCACAGAATTGATGAGGGGAAAAGGGTGAGCGGTGCACTTAGGATTCTGTGGAGACAAAAAACTTTGTCCTTGGAGGCAAAGAGGGGAATGTATGAGAGTATAGTTTTACCAACACTCTTATATGGGTGTGAAGCATGGGTGATGAATGTTGCAGCGAGGAGAAGGCTGGAGGCAGTGGAGATGTCATGTCTGAGGGCAATGTGTGGTGTGAATATAATGCAGAGAATTCGTAGTTTGGAAGTTAGGAGGAGGTGCGGGATTGCCAAAACTGTTGTCCAGGGCTGAGGAAGGGTTGTTGAGGTGGTTCGGACATGTAGAGAGAATGGAGCGAAACAGAATGACTTCAAGAGTGTATCAGTCTGTAGTGGAAAGAAGGCGGGGTAGGGGTTGGCCTAGGAAAGGTTGGAGGGAGGGGGTAAAGGAGGTTTTGTGTGCGAGGGGCTTGGACTTCCAGCAGGCATGCGTGAGCGTGTTTGACAGGAGTGAATGGAGACAAATGGTTTTTAATACTTGACGTGTTGTTGGAGTGTGAGCAAAGTAACATTTATGAAGGGATTCAGGGAAACCGGCAGGCTGGACTTGAGTCCTGGAGATGGGAAGTACAGTGCCTGCACTCTGAAGGAGGGGTGTAGACACAAGTACACACAAATACAATCATACAAATCCTCCCCGACTTACGTCTGATTTCCGTTCCAACTGATCGGTTGGATCTTGGAATGAACGGATGTTGGAATTATGTTAGCATGGCATGTAAAAGTCGTATACCTGTACAGCATTCTTTTAACCTAATAAATTTCTCTCATGATTATCTTGTTTTTTTATCAACTTGCTTTATTACCTTAAGTTTCATTATTCACAAACTGAAGTTCCTTACTTGTAGAACGTATGACTAAAGGTAATTTGTATATTTACATACATACAGTTTTTATTTTTTTACAATCAGCAATGAGGGAGGAAATTGACGTAAGCGGACATGGAGAGTTACACTGTTGCATATTCTCCATTCAGATATTTAAAAGTCTTTCCACATTTTCCATTCCTTGCTGGGTGTTGATTTTTTTCTCATCAACGTTATAATGAAATGACATTGGACGAAACGACGTTGAATGAAGCAACGTTGAACAAAACGGTGATGAACGTAATGATGTTGAACGAAACGACATTAAGTGAGGATTTCCTATATTGCTTCTGTTACAAAATGATTTGTATGTAGACTCCAAGTGGTGCACCACTAGCAGTAGTGACAAAAGACCCACATTGCAGAACTAGGTTTTATTAGTACAGTTAAAGGGAAATAAAGACATATATGTAACACTTAGGGCATTTTATTAGAAGTTTCACTCACTGAGGGTTTTTTCAATCCAGTAGTGGGAATGTACACAATATATAAGGGACAGAAGTTAGGTAAATTTAGAGGGAGTCACGGGAGAAAAGTCAGGTCTGGTGTGATGAGGTGTCAGTGCACCCATCACTTGCTTGTGTATTGTATGACCAAGTAAAAGCAACATGGCAAGCATTCATGATATGTTAAATCCTGCAGAGTTCAAGGCCACCATGACAGATAACTCAATCAAGGCTGCCTCAAGGCAACATCACTTCTGCAAATTGTTGTCTTTCATAACTAGCTTAGCTTCTTTTCCATCAGGTGACCTTGTGAGTTATGGTCTATCACAAAAACATTATCTAGGTTGTCTCTACTGTATGCATAGTTGGGTTTCTTAACTGCTGAACTATAGTATGTCAGTATTTTAATACCTATCACTGCACTGTCCTTGTGCTGGGACAGTAAAAACTTGTTTCTGCAACTTTTCTTTTATTCAAAACTTGCTTTTAATTTTAGGGCCCTTATTGTTCATATTCATGTTCTTTCAATAACTAATTTTGATTCAAGGATGGGTTATAAATAAATGAAAATAAATTAAGCAGTATTGTAATAAGAGAAATATTGTAAATACAGTGGACCCTCGACTAACGATATTAATTGGTACCCGAGAATGATTATCTTTAGTCGAGATTTTTAGCATTAGTCGAGGCAAAATGTTAGCGTTAAAATGTATCACTAGTTGGATTTAATGTTAGATGATGCCATCGTTGGTCGAGGGTCCACTGTATATTTTTAACACTGAAAATCTTCTTTTTTTTCCTTTTCCACTAACAGAATCTGATGACTTGTGTGCAAGATTCGCTGGTAAACTTTGCGCACATGTATGTGTACCTACTCCTGGGTCATATCGATGTCAGTGTCGTGCAGGATTCACGCTCTCTACAGATAACAAGTCATGCATACAAGATGCTCTCATTGATAGGTTAGTTTAAATTTCTGTATTGTCATATATTGTGTGAAACACTGTTGTTTTTGACTAATTTAATATTAGCATAGCTTTAAATTTTATACTTTTAACAATAATATCAGCAAAATGTGAGAATTTTGGTGAAAATATAAAATATAAATACCATTCATCTTTGTACCAGATTGAGCAAGTTGCTTGCTAGCAATATGTCTCCAAAATAAAGATTCCCAAATGTTGCAAAAGTTTCTGATTCTTCAGTCTGAATGTTGTTTGCCCAAAGCCATGATCTCTTTTTGAAGTTGCCCCTTCTTTAGTGGACTTTTATAATGTAATGCTGATTAAGGGCTGTTGATCCAAGGAAATGGAGGTACTGTTCCCTTAAACTAAATCTGACTACCTCTGGTTTCTCAGGTCTTATGTGACCACATGGGTTTGGTGCTTTTGTATGAATGTGAAAATAACAGTTATTTCTAAAGTTATCCATAATGTGAAACATGACCTTCCTGTTGAGGCATATTTTGGTACAGTATATACAGTACTTTGCCTATGTCAGATACCGCTTTGAACTTATATGTTACATTGACATCCATGTTGACTTGAGTCCTGGATGTGGGAAATACAGGGCCTGCACGCTAAAGGAAGAGTGAGAATGTAGCACATACACAAATAACCCACACATAAAAGAGAGAAGCTTACGACGACGTTTTGGTCTGACTTGGACCATTTACAAAGTCGTTGTAAGCTTCTCTCTTTTATGTGCGAGTTATTTGTGTATCGTTCCAGTCACGGTATTGTGCCTTTTTTTGTTATTAATGTAGCACATTTCTGGCAAGACAGCAATTGAATGAAAGATAGTGAATGTATTTCCTCTTCTTTTTTTTGAGTCAACCTACCTTATTGGAGATTGCTATTGTGTTAAAAGAAAACTGTTTTGGCCAACTTGTTAAAAAAAAAAAATGGTTTAATAAAATAATAATGCACAAATAACCCAGACACAGGAGTAAGAAACTTTATGACAGTGTTTCTTTCTCCTATATGTGGGTTATTTGTGTATTGTTCCTGTCACAGTATTGTGCCTTTGTGTTCTCTAAAATAATAAGTTTCCTTCACTACCCTGTAGGTGCCGACAGAACAATCCCTGTGCTCACATTTGCCGAGACACAGGAGTCTCTATAGAATGCTCTTGCAACCCTGGATACAATTTGGCTCCTGATCAAAGAACCTGCGAGGGTAAAGTGATGATGTGCAGTATATTGTAAAAGATTAAAATGTTAAATGTATGCATACTGTATAGGTTTTAAATCAGAGAAAGTAGCGTTGTTGCTTGTGTTAATGTGGGCTTGTAGACTGGTACAGTTCATGTTTGCTTCACTTACCTAATTATATTTATGGGATGTAGTTTTATTTGCTTTTAGGAATTTTATTAATTTTGAATAATGGTGTTAGTGGTTTATTTAAGTATTTGTTTCAATTAGTAGTATAGGTAATTAAGCTGCTTTATTAAATATTGTAAACTGCTTATTGTAATAGTTCAGTACAGTATTTATAAATTGTTACACAAAGGTAACCTAGGAGGCATTTCTGATAATAACTCGACATTCGATCCTTGGCAAATTTTGGCATGCCCGACGAAGGGTTACAATAATAAAACAAATTTTTTTACATGCAGTGCATAAATGCTATATGTTTTTTACCATAGTTAAAATGTTGAGTGTGTCCTATCAGCAATATCTCTTATCTACTCTAGAACATTTAAGGAGGATAAGGGTTGGTTTTATCTGGGTTATTTATAAATGTGACAGATGTGAATGAATGCAGCAGTGGTGTGCATGGCTGTCTTCCGGGAGAACAGGTGTGTTATAACCAGATTGGCTCTTACGCCTGTATCAATGCCGATGGCTCCTTGTCTTCTCCTGGTGGTGTGCAACACCAGACTGTTAGTACTGGCTCTGCCACAACTCATCTTGGAGATGCCAGAGCAGGTGCAGCTCTAGGATCATCCAGCTATGATATAAACAATGAAGTCGATCCAGGAATACCAGGATCAATCCTTGGCAGAGGAGCCTTAGGAGTGCAAGGGTTTCCTGGCACAAGAGTCGAGCATAGGTACCTCGATGCTACTCATTCTCAGGGCCGTTGCCCTCCTGGATATAATTTTAACTTGGACACCATAGTTTGTGATGGTGAGTTAATAAAACTTAATAGTGCTTTTTTTTTATTTTGAAATCAACTTTTATATCAAGTACAAAGAACAGGTCAGGGTATATCTTTAAAAAATGTTGCTTGTCTTTATTATGTACAAAATCCTCGCGATGATTTTAAAAGAAACTGTCTCTGTCTCCATTTCTGTTTCTCCCTCTGTCTATATGTCTCTGTCTCCCTCTCCCCCTCCCTGCCCCCTCTCCCTTTCTCCCCTCCCTCCCTCCCTCTCCCTCTCCTTCTCCCTCCCTTCTGCCTGTGAAAGTATAGTTTTCTACCAGCTAATTAGGACTACATTATATTTAACTGGAATTGCCAAAGTTTACAACATATTATTTACTCTGACACAAACACTTAAGAATATCACTCTAGTAACTTAGTACGTATATTATTAGTATGTTGAATTTTTCTAAAACTGAGAGATAGCTATTGTTATAGTGTATTACAGATTAATCAGATCTTAATTCATTTCCTGCACATCACCCATCTGGTCAGGCACTGGTATATACAGTTCGAAGTTCTTAATAAGTTGCAAGTTTGTAATCTTGTGAGTATGCCTGATATAACCATCTAAAATATCAAACATTTACTGGTCAGTAACTTGGCTGTGATCAACAGACAGAGGATCAGGCCTCTATCAGTCATGTGCTGAATGATCTAAACATGTCTAGTATTTTATGAAATACAACAAATTAAGGAATTATCTTATGTGGAGAAAGTTGTAAATCCTTGGCTTCTCATTTGCTGTCCATCATTAAAGTAAAATAAACATGTGCAGGTGATCACACCCACTTAGTTGTAGCCAGGGTAACCATAACAGCCATGACCATAACAACCCTTTTTTTTCTCATCGTATTGGCTATTTCTTACCAAGGTATCGTGACCCCAAAGAAAGAATCTCGGTAACACTTATCCAGTAACTGTTTCTCCAGAAGTATGTAGAATTTAATATTCCAATGAACCTCTGAACTGCACATCCCCACACATCCTTCAAAGCACAGGCACCATAGTATACTTAAGTTTTTTCTTACTATGGTTAATTTTACATATTTTACAATAAATCTGTGATTTAAAGGCAGTGCACAGTTACCTGTTTGTATTCATATACAATGCTAATATGACTGAAATGAGGATACATGTATATAATATAATTGGGACATATCGTATAATTTAGCTTTTCTTTATTAATTTCTAATACCTATAATAAAATATGCTAGACAAAGTTCTTTCTCATCTCTCAAATGTAAAGCAGTTCCCTAATTTTGTGATATTGTTGTTGGTTTGCATCCTGCAGATGTTGACGAGTGTGAAGTAACGTCTGGTTTGTGTGGCCGAGGAGCTGTCTGCCAGAACACCATTGGTTCTTACACATGTGCACATATTCCAGTTGCAGATTGTCCTCCAGGGTTTGCTTTTGACTTGAATCAACAGTCATGCTTGGGTTTGTTTTGTCTTGCTGTTGATATTTAGCAGGGGTGAGGAACCTTTGGCCTTCTAGGGCATTAAATATACCTGGAGTGTGGCCTTCTGTATGAATAATTTTTCTTGAAGTTATTATATAATAATTAACTTTTTACAAACTACCCGACATTTTGCAGAATATCTAATCAAAATTTCTTGAATACAGCCTTATTAGATTACAGCTAACTTTAATACAGCCTTCCAATATAAAAAGAAGATTCCCTTACCCTGGTATATGGGGTCCCTAACCTGCGAATATTCAAATTGTCAATGTTCCCTACTTACGAATGCCGGAGTTGCTGTCATTCACTTATGAACACCAGAGTTGACAGTATTCTCACTTATGAATACCTGAATTAACAACATTCCTATTTATGAAAAGGTGCATAAGAAATAATAATAGTACAGTAATTATTATAATAATGTTTATTTCTTTAAGCCATACAAATGCCAAGAAAATGATGATCCTCTTTTATTTGTGCTCTCTATCCTGGAATATTGCTGTACACTAATGATCCATTTCAAGGCATGCAAAATTGCAAAACTGGAAAATATAGAGAACGTTCATTGTCTCTAGAAATTCAGTCAAGCACTTAAAATACTGGGAATGCTTGAAGTCCCTTGATCCATATTCCTGGAATGTAGGTGAGAAGGATATATTATATTATAAGTTACACCAGGAAGATTTTGGACCGATTGGCCCCAAGTCTAGGCACCAAAATTATTTCCCATGAGAGCAAGAGGCTCAGTAGACATGGCAAAATACTTCCAATGAAAAACAGGGATACCATATAAAGGGACCAAGATTTTTAACACCCGCCTTTCATACATAAGGGGGATTACCAGCAGACTACTGGCTGTCTTCAAGAGAAAACTTTATAAATTCCCCAAGTTGGTTCCTGATTAGCTGGCTATGGTGCCTTTGCACTATTGTGTGTCAATAGTTAATGGTCTAAGTCGAACTGAAACGTTTTCATAAATTTCTTTCTCCTATATGCGGGTTATATGTACGTGCGTATATTATTCCAGTCACAGTATTGTGCCATTTTGCTCTTTATGGTGCCAGCATTGGAGTGCATGCAGCTTGCACCAGTGGTGTAGTTGATCAGGCCATTAACCAAAAGGCTTCATCTGGAACTGGGCCTAGTTACCCCTGAAATCGTCATCAGGTAATCTTCAGGTAACACCAGAAACAAAATTCATTCATAAGTTAGAACTCCAAGATCACAACTTGTTTATAAACTAGAACAACAGGAACAAAACTTATAAGTAAGAATACAAGGAGTGTAGTTTGTTCATAAGTTAGAATATCAGGACCTCAACCTGCTTGTTAGTTAAGGACTCCCTGTACATAGGTTCGTATGTTAATAAGGTACATATGTTAATACAGTAGAACCCCTGTGTCTGTGGATTCAGTTTCCACAGTTTCAGTTATCCACGGTTTACTGTGACTTGAAAATAACCCTTAATTTTGCTTAATAATGACCCCAAAGCACAAAAGTGGTGATGGTAGTTCTTCAAAGGCTAAGAGAAGCTGTGAAGTGCTTCTCATTAGTGAAAAAGTGCTAATTCTCGACATATTGTGCATAATTTATCAATTAAACTTTATCATAGGTATGTATGTAAATGAAAAATGACATATGTAGGGTTCACTAATGTCCGTGGTGTCGGGTATCCACAGAAAGTCTTGAAACATATCTCCCACAGATATATGGGGACTACTGTATAATTATGTACTGTATAATGCTTTGGTAGTAAGATAATTCTTGCTTTGTTACTGTATATTGTTTCATAAATTTTATTTAATATGGTGACCTTTGCTGACTATGTTTTTAAATCAGGTATTAAATATATTTTATTCTGTAAATATTTTATACTATAAGTATTATACTTTAAGTATTATATAAATATTATACTATATATATTATAATTTTGGAGTGAGATAAACAGGTTAAGAAAGCCAAGGGAATGAATGGATTTGTCAGTTAAAAACAGAGTAGGGGAGTTAATAGATGGGGAGCTGGAGAGTTAAAAACAGAGTAGGGGAGTTAGTAGATGGGGAGTTGGAGGTATTGGTTAGATGGGGGGAATATTTTGAGGAACTTTTAAATGTCGATGAAGAAAGGGAGTCAGTAATTTCATGCATTGACTGGGGGGCAGGGGGTTATAACATCATTTAGGAGTGAAGAAGAGCAGGATGTGTGAGTGAGGGAGGTGCATGAGGCATTACATAGAATGAAAGGGGGTAAAGCAGCTGGAACTGATGGAATCATGACAGAAATGTTAAAAGCAGGGGGAGATGTAGTGTTGGAGTGGTTGGTATTTTTTGTTTAATAAATGTATGAAAGAGGGAAGGTACCTAGGGATTGGCAGAGAGTGTGTATAATTCCTTTATATAAAGGGAAGGGGGACAAAAGAGATTGTAAAAATTATAGAGGAATAAGTTTTCTGAGTCTACGTAGTAGGTTGGTAGACAGCAACCGCCCAGGGAGGTACTACCGTCCTGCCAAGTGAGTGTAAAATGTAAGCCTGTAATTGTTTTACATGATGGTAGGATTGCTGGTGTCCATTTTTCTGTCTCATAAACATGCAAGGTTTCAGGTATGTCTTGCTACTTCTACTCACACTTAGGTCACACTACACATACATGTACAAGTATATATATATATACACCCCTCTGGGTTTTCTGCTATTTTCTTTCTAGTTCTTGTTATTGTTTATTTCCTCCTATCTCCATGGGGAAGTGGAACAGAATTCTTCCTCCGTAAGCCATGCGTGTTGTAAGAAGCACCTAAAATGCCAGGAGCAAGGGGCTAGTAACCCCTTCTTCTGTATATATTACTAAATGTAAAAGGAGAAACTTTTGTTTTTCCTTTTGGGCCACCCCGCCTCGGTGGGATACAGCCGATGTGTTGAAAGAAAGAAAGAAAGAAGTAGTTTTCTGAGTATACCAGGTAAAGTGTATGGTAGGGTTATTATTGAAAGAATTAGAGGTAAGACAGAGAGCAGGATTGCAGATGAGCATGGAGGCTGTAGAATGGGTAGGGATGTGTAGATCAGGTGTTTACATTGAAGCATATATGTGAACAGTATTTAGATAAAGGTAGGGAAGTTTTCATTGCATTTATGAATTCAGAAAAGGCATATGATAGAGTGGATAGGGGAGCAGTGTGACAGATGTTGCAAGTGTATGGAATAGGTAGTAAGTTACTAAATGCTGTATGAGTTTTTATGAAGATAGTGAGGCTCAGGTTAGGGTGTGTAGGAGAGAGGGAGATTACTTCCCAGTAAAAGTGGGTGTTAGACAGGGATGTGTAATGTCACCATGGTTATTTAACATATTTATAGATGGGGTTGTAAAAGAAGTAAATGCTAGGGTGTTGGGGAGACGGGTGGGATTAAATTATGGGGAATCAATACAAAATGGGAGTTGACACAGTTACTTTTTGCTCATGATACTGTGCTTTTGGGGAATTCTAAAGAAAAGTTGCAAAGGTTAGTGGATGAGTTTGGGAGGGTATGTAAAGGTAGGAAGTTGAAAAGTGAACATAGATAAGCGGATGGTGATGAGGGTATCAAAGGATTTAAATAAAGGAAAATTGGATATCACATTGGAGGGAGGGAGTATGGAAGAAGTGAATGTCTTCAGCTATTTGGGAGTTGACTTGTCAGCAGATGGGTTTATGAAGGATAAGGTTAACCATAAAGGTTAAAATAAAGATTGGATGTGAAAAGTGGGTTATAGTAAGCGTGTATGCACCTGGAGAAGAGAGAAGTGTAGAGGAGAGAGAGAGATTCTGGGAAATGTTAAGTGAATGCATGGGGAGTTTTGAATCAAGTGTGAGAGTAATGGTGGTTGGGGATTTCAATGCTAAAGTGGGTAAAAATGTTATGGAGGGAGTAGTAGGTAAATTTGGGGTGCCAGGGGTAAATGTAAATGGGGAGCCTTTAATTGAGCTATGTGTAGAAAGATAAATTTGGTAATAAGTAATACATATTTTATGAAAAAGAGGATAAAATAAATATACAAGGTATGATGTAGCACGTAATGAAAGTAGTTTGTTAGATTATGTATTGGTGGATAAAAGGTTGATGGGTAGGCTCCAGGATGTACATGTTTATAGAGGGGCAACTGATATATCAGATCATTATTTAGTTGTAGCTACAGTTTAGAGTAAGAGGTAGATGGGAAAAGAGGAAGGTGGCAACAACAAGTAAGAGGGAGGTGAAAGTGTATAAACTAAGGGAGGAGGAAGTTCGGGCGAGATATAAGCGACTATTGGCAGAAAGGTGGGCTAGTGCAAAGATGAGTAGTGGGGGGGTTGAAGAGGGTTGGAATAGTTTTAAAAATGCAGTATTAGAATGTGGGGCAGAAGTTTTGTGGTTATAGGAGGGTGGGGGCAGGAGGAAAGGAGAGTGATTGGTGGAATGATAAAGTAAAGGGTGTGATAAAGAGAAAAAGGTAGCTTACGAGAGGTTTTTACAAAGCAGAAGTGTTTTAAGAAGAGCAGAGTATATGGAGAGTAAAAGAAAGGTGAAGAGAGTGGTGAGAGAGTGCAAAAGGAGAGCAGATGAAAGAGTGGGAGAGGCACTGTCAAGAAATTTTAATGAAAATAAGAAAAAATTTTGGAGTGAGTTAAACAAGTTAAGAAAGCCTAGGGAAAGTATGGATTTGTCCGTTAAAAACAGAGTAGGGGAGTTAGTAGTAGATGGGGAGAGGGAGGTATTAGGTAGATGGCGAGAATATTTTGAGGAACTTTTAAATGTTGAGGAAGAAAGGGAGGCGGTAATTTCATGCACTGGCCAGGGAGGTATACCATCTTTTAGGAGTGAAGAAGAGCAGAATGTAAGTGTGGTGGAGGTACGTGAGGCATTACGTAGAATGAAAGGGGGTAAAGCAGCTGGAACTGATGGGATCATGACAGAAATGTTAAAAGCAGAGGGGGATATAGTGTTGGAGTGGTTGGTACTTTTGTTTAA